AAAAAAATGCCTTGAAGCTGGGGGAACCCAGCGTCCCGGCCAGCTGACCGTAAGGGTTTCCTTCCCGTCAACGAGCCACATGTACCTCATCAACCGGAAGGAAACCCTCCGATTGATGAGGTACATCTACCTCATCGACCGGGAAGGAAACCCTTCCGGTCCAGACACTTGGGGGCGGTACCCGGAGCGGTACCCGGGTACCTCCCCTTTTTTTGCCAAAAAACCGGCACCCGGCACCGCACCCGGCACCGCCTGGCGGGTGCGAGGCGGGTGCGGGCGGTACCCGCCGAGCGGTACTAGGTACCTAGCAACGGGTACCGACGAACGATCTCTACAGGGCCCTGCACACCTGACAGCTGCCGGGTGGGGGCTAGGGTTCCACCCATGTAATGACCAATTCCAACTCAAACACCTGTGAGGATTCTGATGATCCAACTCTCACATCTTCAACTCAAAAAATCTGGGAGTTGATTCATAATGCCTAGCACATAGTAGCTTTATGAGGCCATGTACTGTACAAAAAAAGGCAGAAAAATGGTGGCACAAAAAAAAGCAGATCCAAGGGGCTTGCAACTGCAAGCTTTCTGGGAACTACTGTAATGAGTTTTATGTATGTATTTCAAAATATCCCAAGCTACCCCAAGCAGTCTTGGCCAGTTTGGGTCATCCCATGGAAATTGTATGGGATTACATGACAAAATTTTGACCATTGTCCTTTAAATGAAGATTGTTCACTTTTCAGTTTTCTCTGCTCTGGGAGATCAGATAATTCCTTGTTTGTCATTTGATGTGTGCAAGGTTTAGCTCAAAAACTTAGTTTCCTTTGCTAGTTCCCAGTGAAAATTTTGAAATGCAAAACAGGGTGGGCCAGTTACACTTACTGTAGTGTTAGTGCAGTGTAATGGATCAGAATTCCGCTAAAATTTTGTGTAGAAAAGTGGAATTCTGCCACGTCTGTGCTAACTAGGGTTGATGGAACCACTTCAAGGGCATACCAATGTGCGGCGCCTTGCACAAGCGCCCTCAGCGTGCACAAAAAGAAGAAAAAGGGAGGTGTGTGCGCACCGCTAACCCTGCCAACGGCACGCACTTGGTAACAAGTTGGGATGCGCCTGTTGGCATGCACTTTTCCCCATGTGGTGCCATCAACCCTAGCGCTAACACTACACGCTTAGGCTCCAACAAAGGGCCCACTACGCTGCACTAGCATAATTTGGCCCTGTAGTGCTGTTAGCAGCCCGTAGTGCAGCATAGAGACAATTGGCTAAAAGTGCTAACACTACAGAATTTTGGTGCAAAAAAGTGCTACTAGGACCCCGGCAAGCCCCTCAAGAGGGGGTGTCAAAAAAGTCCAGATTTTGGTTAGGCAAAAAATCACCCCCCCCCCCAAAAAAAAAGAGGGGTTTTCCCAACAAACTCCTGGGTTTGGGGTCCATATTCTCGATTTGGCTGGTCATGAGCAGTTGCACATATGGTGTTGCAAGCCCGTCTGGGCGGGGATTGATAATGGCACGCCACTCCCCCTGGGGCACGCCAATCTGCACGCCAAAGCAGATTGGCGTGCACGAGCGGGAGTCGCGCGCCAATCTGCAAGTGGCGTGCAGATTGGCGTGCGCCATGGGGGTTGGCGTGCGCTTATCAACCCCCCGTCTGGGCACACACCAAACCTCAGCCAAAAACAGGCCAAGCGCACTGGGCAGATCTTAAAGCATGCTTGGCCGACTGTAAAGCCTGTGTGGCACCCTCCCAGCCCCCGCTTGGCACATGTCAAAGCTGGTGGGGGTTGGAGCAAAGCCTTGCTTGACCGAAATCAAGCGAGGGTGCCACGCCCGCCAAAATGCCGGCCATCGAGAAGGAATCCCTTCTTGATGACCGGTTCACTACTAGTCAATCACTCTGCTTGATGGCCGATGACCGTCGCTGTACCATCTGTTAAATTTTAGGCGGAAAGACCAATAAAATAATATCTTTTATGATTTCGCTGAGAGGGCTCAAGTGCTCGCAGACAGGCTGAAGGAAGGGCTAATGTGCTCCTTTCAGGAACGGTCAAAAAAATAATAAAGAACCGATAGCTTTTCTTTTATTTCTTTGTATCAAGTGACATAAATAGTTTAGATACAATAATGCATGAGTTGTGGGAGCTGGGGAGAATGCATAATGAATAAACTAACAACTTGGTCTTAAGGAATTAAATGAGTGACATCTGAAAAAAAGAGAGAGAACGAGTGAAAATTCAACACCATCATCGGTTGATTCTGTCCGTATACCAAGCGTCGAGACGGGTATCTCCCGTCCTGGGCCACTGGGTTTGTACGGGTTTTTGAGAGGGAGGGGAGCGCCTGAGCCACCAATCGGCCCAGCGCCGGGACTTGAGTGCCAAGTCCCTCCCCCCGCATGATCAAGCCCTCTGGGCACAAATCAAACCCCCGGTGGCTATTGGCCAAGCGGGACTTGGGTTTGTGCCCAGACGCGCTTGCAACACCATACCTAAAATGAATGATTTCAACAGTATGTTTTTGGTCCAAAATAGTAATTCATACCTTTTTCAACCTTTTTCAAGAGTAAGTTTTTGGTATTTTTGCCCATTTGCCACACCTTTTCCAACACCCCCCTGTTGGGCGGCTTGCTGCGGTCCTGCGCTGCTACACTTACACTATTTGGGAAAAAAGAGCAGCGTAGCGTAGCGGCCGATTGTTGGAACCAGGAATTGACAATCTGAAGAGGTCAACCGGTCTGGTCTCATTTCAGCTGACCCGCCCCGCCATAGATGTACCGGTTGAACCGCGTGGCCGAATCTAGAAACAAAAACTACCCCCAAACGCATAATGAAGGTGACAATCGTCACGTAACTGTTACGCATGAGCTGGGGAGCTCATCCCATTATCCGTTGTGCAGAGTACATACCCATCCTCTCAGATCGTCAGTGCCGAACTTGTTCTCGACCTGGATCTGGCTGTTGCGCTTGTCAAGCCTTGCTTGGACATCAGGCTGTTTGGCGGGAAGGTACCCAAGTGCTGGGGAGGATTCATCCATTCCTCCTCAACAAGGAGCTCTACAGTCAAGTTACTATCACATCGGGTCAACTTGCCGCCAGCAGGGAAGTAAACATTGCCAGTGAGCTTCATGCACCGGCAAACGAGTACATTCCTGGAGGGAAGCTTGGAAGTCTATAAGTGTATCGAATACAAATCAGATTTTTCATTACTCCTCAATGGGGTAATGAGGATTTGCCTTGGGATAATACACTTGACTTTGACTTTTTGTTTCCAGATTCGCCCACCGGGTTGAACCGACCCACCCTCACCCTGCAGCTTCATCCTTTGTAATGGGCCCTCGCAACTGTTTTTTTGGTTTTGCTTGTACTAGTACTTCCACCCGATGCAATAGTCATCTGACCTAGACATTGACATCCTGATTACACACAGATAAGCAGTGATCATCCCGACATTTTTGTTGGCAAATCATTCCTTTTTTGAGGAACCATCGGTCCCAACAATCAGGCTGAGAGATAGATACAAATGTTGATGATGTAATTCTGATGATATGGAAGAAGGAAAGGCAAAACGATCAAACATTGTTGCAGTTACGTTTTGCACTAAAAGAAGCTCTCTGTGCTCTGTTATCACAACTCATTGCCTCGTATCACAACTTCTGTTTACCATAGCATGCTGAACCTTAGAAATACGGGTTCAGTGAAGCTTGGCTTTTAAGCCCTGTCTGACTTCTCACTTCCCTCCACTCAAGTTTCCGTGAAACAAAAAGCTGGTCGCTTACATACCTTTCTTAGAGAGTCAGACTTCCTAAGAAAACCGGAGTCCACAATAGTCTACGAACAGACTGCGGGTATCCAAACAGCACAAATGCATTCAGTTCAGATAGCTTTTTTTAATGGCTTGGCCGGCAAGCCACCGACCAAACTCCACAAAGAAAATTTGCTAAGCTAGCAGGGGGAATGAGTTAACACAGAAAAAAAATCATACCACATAATATTTATGCTAAACATTTTTCGTGAAGAATTTTGATTCAATTCCCCAGAAGATCCCGGGTTCGGCCTTGGTGAAGCAACTTGTAGTACCGTGATTTTTGCTCACAGTAACAGTGTGATTAAGATTGTGTGATCAAAAAGAAAATAGGGCAGTTCACGTTGCACCAAAAATCCTGCTGATGTGGCACAAGGTTTGTTTGCTGATGCACAAACTTTGTGAACTTTAATTGTGGGATTTCGACTCCAAAGGGGAGTCTCCCACTAAACCCTGTTGCTTTCCCATAAACCTTAAGAGAGGGATTCTAACAAGGTTCGACTGCTGATGGTCAACATCAGCAGAACGTGAACTGCCCTAATACATTCAATTCGTAATGTATTGGCCCGTGCATCAGTCAAAACTTAACTCATCTATCTGGTTGATAGAAAGTGATAAGATACCTGTTACTGTATCTTCTCAAAAATCGAGTAAACGTAACCTGTCTCTGTTAAAAAACACATCAATACTTTGGGCAGAGTGAAGGCAGAACTTGACTCCTCGCATTCCGTGAAGCAATCTTCGGGCAGCCGAATCGGGTAAGTTTAAGGGGAAGATCATCTTCGGATCCACAAAATTTACCAGCACCAGGCCGACCAAGCTTTCGGCTCGGACTTGGAGAATTTCTATGAGAAGGTCTTGCGGCCTATCGAACGCGGATCAGTCACGCGGCTGCTCAACGCTGCTCGTTTTCATCATACGGTTGTACTTGCTGGTTTTAATGATTGTAGAACGACTGGGCAATGGCAATGCGCAAGCCAAGCGGGGTAAGCTGGATTTTCTGTTAGGTGTGAAGTTTGAACCCTGGCAGAGCCCTGATCTACCTCACCACGGGTTCTCTGCGGTGGTTTCTGTTTTGGTCTTGCACACCCTCGTTTTTTTTTTTGGCCCCGTCCCTCCATTAATCTTGTGAGATGAAAACCTCGATTGTTTCTCTGTACGTGTTTGGAACATCCGATTTCCAGGGCACATATGAGCTCACTGATTAAATTAAATTACGTGGATGGATGTGTGTAACCTTCATCGGGTAACAACATCGAGGAACGCTTGCGGGTTGAGAAAAACTAGCAATTATTCCCCAGATATTCAGCTGGCTAACATGCTCACCGGGAGTCCGAGTGACTGACACTGTGTCCGCTCAAGTGTCAACGGCTTCAACGGCAATGGAACCATCGGGAAACTTCTGATGGACATCCCATCGGCACGTATGTAAACCAAGTGCTGAAAATAAAGGAAAGAGCGCTGACACAAATGGTGTTTTGGATGGGTTTCAGCAGAAATGACATAATCTCTTCCCACTTGGGCTCGATTTCTCTCAGCTGCTTCCAGGAAAAATCCACGCTGTAGAGCTTGCGGAGCTGTCTGCATCGTACTTGCTTGACATCGGTTTGCACACCTTTTAGGGTGCGAAGTATTAAAATTAATACCCTTCTGCCACCGTCACATTCTCATTCATCTTCCTATTTCTCAGCCACCCATCGACCCCCTCCCATTCGGAGTAAGTTTTCGCATCTGAGTGCCCCTACAGGTTGGCTACCCTTTTACGCCACAGTCGCCTTAAGAACTGATTGTTTCGAAAACCTTTCTCTTGCCGCCCCGGTGTCCAGCCAAAGTCACCCTTCATAAACAGGCTCCAAAGTCACCCTTCATAAACAGGCTTCATCCGTCCCCTTGACATTAATTTCACCCCAATCCATCGTATCAATATCAATTGTGGTCTCAAATGCACTCCAATAGAAGCTAAATTGCCCTTCGCTTCGGTGCCATATAATTGCCTCCGTCGCACGCACACACTCCGGTCTCCTTCAACCTCATCATTAAAGTTTGAGTTGCACCATCCAGCTATCCGCACTGACTTAAAATCAAGACATTCTTTTTTTGCGCACTTCCCCTGCCTCCTCCAAGTCCCCGATTCCGGAATCCCTCATCTATATATACTGCATCCAATAATCCTATCAAAATGTCCCATAGCCAATCCACTTCAACAAAAGCTTGTCCGTTACTATCTGTGGTCACATCAACCAACATGGACCAACTTCCACCAGCTTCTGAAGCCCCAAACGCAGAAGCCTCATCTCCAAGGCGCAAGCTGCCACTTGGTGCAATAGTATCGCCTCTCAGTCCGTTCTTTAACGAGAGAGCCAAAAATTGCGCTCGTGAGTTTGAATTATAGTACCCAATCCGCAGCTTGCAGAGAAAGCGTACCTGATTTTTGTTTGTTTACTGCATCTTCTTTGGCTTCCAATTTTTTGCTGGACAACCGCGCCGTTTGTCAGTCGAACAAGCTAAATCGAAAGCATTAGAAACGGCCCTTTCGGGCTTAGATGTCGCCAGCGAAAGCAAGAACCGCTCTCGGTCCACGTCTCAAAGCTCAAAACTCAGCGAAGCATCAAGCACAGGATCATTATCGTCGTCGTCTTCGTCTCACGATAGCCAACACTCTGCAGCATCTCCAATAAGTATGTTAGATAACGAAACGCTTCTCCCGAGTTTGCCTCGAATCTCATACGAGGATTGGAGCAAATTTGGGATTAATCTCTTTACGCCAAAACTATTAAACCCACACTCTAAAATGTATTATCACTACCCTTCCATTGAGAAGAAAAAGAACAACCTCAATCATCTTACCGGCAATCGTCCCAGATCTAAATCTTCTACCGTCCACGGCTATTCACCTCCACAATTTGAGGACCATCGCATTAACCGCCCCGGGATTCATCAGTTGTCCAACCCTGCACTTCAAAGTCGACCTCATCCCCAAAGCCCACTAACCCGATTCATGTCCCTACGTCATCCTCTGGAGAGGAACTACACTCGATAGATGCATCGAACTACAATCACCCATCACAGAAACCGAGCTCCTTCATTCTTCTCTGATCATGTACTTTTTTTTTCGATAATTTTGTTTCTTCACCTTTGTCTGATGAATTGTGCAAAAGATTTTCCTGTGATTATCATTCGTAAGGCTGATTGCCCTTTTTTGTCTTTGTATGTAATTGTTCATTTTGATCTATTAATATTGGTTTTTTAGCATTTGTCTTCAACTTTTCACGCTGTTTCTTTTGGGTTCTGGGTTATCTGCTTTTCCAACTGCGAGATACTTCTCCTTCCATTCCACGTAGTCTACTTCTATGTGTCCCATTGGTTAGCAAATTGACATTGGGTTGTATTTGTCGCGCGCTGCTTCTGCCCTCTGGTTTGCCCTCCATGGTACCCACCGCAAAACTCCCGAGAAAAGCTTGATCCAACAATTTGAGCCCGCCGATGAAGGCAGACCATTTATCCTTCACTTCGTGCTTGATAACAGGAATTATGTTATTTTTAGCACCACACCAAGTTTTTCCACGTGACCAATACACCCTTTGAAAACAGACATCCTTCATTTATCTCAACTCTTGCTTCAGCTGGACCAAGAGCTAGTATTAGAAACAAACTTTGGCCTTACACTGCAGGACATGGCAGGCCAGACTGCGGGATGCATTAGCAACACGTCAGGGTGGTTGAGGGCTGCCCCAAGTTAATTGCAGGTAAACCAGGGACACCAGGCTCCTTGACCCAACAAGTCGTGCCTTGCATGGAAAACATGAGAGGGCTTGTATACCACCTGGGATCCAACCTTGGATATAAGTAAGTGCAAATGCATTGAGTTGGAGGAAAAAGTGACAGAAAATAACATCCAGGTTTCAGTTTTGAGAAATACAATCAGACCCTCTGATGTTAACCGTTGGCAAAAACTGAACAAAATTGAAGCAAAAAAAACTAAATCACACTTGAGATACCAAACAAAACATAAAAAAACATCCAGGATGTTTATTTTTGTGTCAGTGTATTGATCTTGGTTTTCAGATGAGTAAGAGCATCTCTAAGAGCAACTCCACCGCAGAGTGTTCAATGCAAGTGTAAAACTCGAGCAATACATCCCAAGTTTTGATTTTTGAAGTTGAAATGTTGTGTGGCCGGCACCCAAAGCAGGTAAATGGGGAGGCACAATGGTGTGATATATATATGTGTGTGTGTGTGAGTTGGGGGATGATAACTGATCAATGGTTGGGTTTCACAGGATGTTGAAGGATGGAGAGGGGATCCAGAACAACACTTGGTTGGACAATTTTCACATCCAGAGTTGATCTAGATCCACGTTTGCATCCCCAGGTGGGGAAATATTTTAACTGACGGTCCACAGTTTTATGTGGGCTCCACCCCCCCTTCCAGGGTTGTCCCAAGGAGGTCAAAAGGAAGCTAATAGGGCCGCAGATGAAGAAATGGCAGTGGCCCCAAAAAGGAATCCAGGCAAAATCAAACCTGGGTGGCAGACCAAATTCAGACACCCCAGGAGGGTGCTTGCCAGGGGTGAAGTGGGATGCCTTTATCAGCCTGCAACCACATGTCCTGGACTGTCACTGCTCTGTCACAAGTGTCCAAAGCAAGCCAGGGTGAGTCTCCCAGAATATGGTTAACTTCTGCCCACTTTGCACTATAGTGTCACAGGTGATGTTCAACCATGTGGCACAGAGAAGCTTGCCTTCCTCAATTTTCCAGCAAGGATTTATCAGCTTTGAGCCATTGGGTTTGGTTGTTTTATCATTATCAGTTTGCTTATGGGGTGAAGCATGAGTTAGCTGGGGCTAACAAGCAAAAGTACAAGCATGTAGTTCATTCTGAGGCCTGTGATTGGAATTTAGTTGCCAATGGATCTTTGAAAGTTGAATATATTTGGCTCAAAGAAAAAAAAACAAATCAGAGTAGAGAAAGTTCCACATGCATGAGTGGATGGTTGCTGAGAGATTGAAAGCTGATTGAAGATTATCTTCTTGCCAGGTGTGATGACTCAGAGGGTGAAGTGTGTGATAGTAAATTTCTGTGGATTAAAATGGATGAGAGAAATAAAAAAAAAATGGGAGGTTGTGCTAACCATAATGGTAGCATAACAATCACATAATGGAATTGTGGCCATTGTTTTTGCAATAACAACAATGGCCTTTCTGTTATGTTTCCTTTTTTCTTTATTCTGCTTTTTTTACTTTTTTCTTTATTCTGCTTTTTTTACACTTTCCACCACAACTGAGTGTGGCCAAAAAACACATAAAAAGGGGGTTTACCCTTGAATGAAATGGCTAATGCAGGGTTTGTATTATTTCTGTCTGTAACAAGGGGAGGAAATCCCCTTTGTCATGTTTCTTGCAAGCCAAAAAAACAAGTGTTCTGGATACCACCAAAGGCATTATCCACCGTGCTAGGAATTTATGCTTTAAAAAGATATTGGAATGTATTTCACTTCCCAGTGTTGCTCAAGAGACCACTATAGATAATGGCTCACAAGAACAAGGACACAGAATGTTTTGAACTCAACAAGCTATCCAGGTATCTTGGACTCAGAGATAGCAGTATTATGAAATTGAATGAATGATTCACAGCAGGAATCATCAGTTCAGACAGGTAGAATGCTGACACTAGTTATATTGATTCCATTGGAAGCCATCCACATTGGTTAAACTTGTCATGCCCTGCTATTTAATTCATCTTCTCTCAGCACATTTTCGTTTGGATGTAGACAAAAGTGGTCCAGAAAAAACTCATTCCAGCTCCTCAGTGGCAGATACCACTAAAATTTAGGCAGGATACTCAAGTGAAAAGCTGTCAGCCACACTGCCTTATCCTTTACGCAGGTCTTCTTGAATTTCACCTGGAATGCATAATTCTGAATGAAGCCCAAGTAGGACCACTCTGGCACTTGGATCCCGCCTTGGTACATAGTGGTGTAAATCTTAAGTGACAGCTATTAAGTTGATTGGAGTCTGAGGAGGTGGTGTGGACCTGACAGCTGTGCAAGAATTGGAAAACTTAAAGGTAGAATTCAAGTCAAATTCATTCCAATGATAAGACCAGCATGAGGTAAAAGACAGGATGAGAAACAGGAGGTACTCATACCTCAAAGGGCAGAGGTATTATACAAAGGAAAGTGGAGAAGTAGATAGACCAGAAGTTATTCCAGATGAAAACAAGATATGGGGAGGAGAGAAGGAAGATAATAGAGGTAAGTATGAGAAAATCTGGGAGGAGTTTGTTGTATGTTTGGTGTTTCAAGATAAAGGATGTGGGGGTGGTTCTGGGTAGATGGGGAACAAAAAGGTTTTGACCTGAGGTTCATAGGAGGAAAAGAGCAGGTGAGGAAAAAGACCTGAGGAGAGAGAGAAAGAGCCAGGATCTTTTATGGAAGCAGAGGTAATTGAGATGTTTGTTCTGAAAACTGTGCTTACTATTGTGTTTATATTTATCATTGCAGCCAGGCAAGTGCTATAGCTTAAGAGGAAGTTTTGTCCTGGTTGGTCTGGCTGTAATTCATCCCTGTGTCTTTCTTGCCTCAAGTAAAGGAAGGGTATGAGTTAGTTTCTCCTGGTACTGGTTACTACACAGTCTAGCTCAGGATGAGAGTGGCTTACTGCTGATTATATCCTCAAGGAGCCAATCTACTTGACTTGATGACATTGTACCCTCAGAGTTGATATTCTGACAAGCTGATAGGGATGAATGGCAGAATGCTGAGGAAAGCTCTGATCTATCAGAAATTCCTGCCACAAGAAGTCTGCCAGCTTTGATCTGGTTCATCAAATCCTGCAAAAACATCACAATGAGCTTATCTGTGCGTGATGATTGCAGCTTCTCTCCCCAATGAATCAGTCTTCCTCTCCTCATTTTTGACTGGATTTTTTTTTTTTCATTCAAGTCAGTTTCTCTTATTTGCTTGTAGAGCTGTTGGGCTTTGAATTGAAAAATTTGGGCCTCAAACAGTAAATGAAAAAAGATAGAGCAAGTTTTGGGCATAAAATGGAATGAAAAAAATCTTGATGGAACATGATAATTGATAGATGCAGAAACTGAAGGAGGAGAACCAATTGGAACTGGGATCTAAAACATTTCATAAAGCGTAAGATATTTAGCACACCAAAGACACAAAGACATGGGATTGAATCAGTTTTGTAAATCTTCAAGAAACCTTAGCCTTGGTTTTTAATCATCAGATCAATGAACCTACCACTTTTTACAGCATCCGGGATTCTTTTTGCAACAACTTGGCAGCTACATCAAACAGAAACCAACATCTTAGTTACCATCCCAAGCACGGCATACTCAATACAGGTTTTATTCTAGCGGTATTTCAAAAGGTTTTCAGCTTGATATCAAGGAACTTACCGGGTCCGATGGCAACTCCTGACTTAACACAAGTCCCTCGCTTCAGAGGGCTGGCGTGAAGCGCCCTCGCGCGAACTGCACCCCCAGTCCTGGGAGGCTTAGTTAAGTCAGGGCAACTCCAAGCTAGAGCTAACAAGCAAAAGTACAGTCTCCTCCCAGATGTTTATAGCCATCTGCTTTGAGCTACACGGCGGGAACCCAAAAACTTCAAGTCACAAGAGTTTGTGGAATGGTGGAAAATGGATCTCAAAGAATGAATATGAAAAAAAATAATAAAAAAATAAGATTTTAAAATTTGTGAAAAAGATAAAAGAAAATCAACTTTTTTTTGAAAACTTTATTTTTTTGTTTGAGTGAAAAATGAACACACAGAGAGCAAGTTTGGAACATGAAAAGAATGATTATAAATGAAAAATATTGATCCCAAAAAAGTTTGAGAATGGTGGGTGGACACCCTGCAGTCAAAATTAGTAGATTGCAGTACCAGAATGCCACATTTCTTGATGAATGACCCCCTAGGCACCCTTTTTAAACCACCAAGTAGTCATTTTTTTCCAAATTTTCACTTCTTATTATTCATTTGAAATCTCATACTATCACTTTGGAGATTTCATCTTCTCCTGAAAGAAATATTAGAGCTGTCAGTTTTTGTGATTTTCTCCTTTTTACTTTTTACAAATTTTATAATCTTGTTTATCATTATTAATTTTTCATATTCATTCTTTCAGAGCCATTTTCCACCATTCCACCAACTATTGCGACTTGAAATTTTTGGGTTCCTGGTGTGGAGCTCAAAACAGATGGCTATAAACATCTGGGAGGAGACTGTACAAGCACGAGGTGGTGGTGCGGAGTAGAAGTCATTCTGCGGCCTGTAATAAGGCTACAGTTATCATTAGTTGTTTGTGTAAGTCATTCGAATGTGACTCACTACAAGAATCAACAGATTATGGCAGCGAAAAAGCTCACACGATTGAGTGGACGGCTGGTGGGAGGATTGTAAGCTGACTGACGATGATTATTGATTGCCAGATCTAACAGCTTGAAGGTAGGACACAGACCTGGGCCCAAGTCCGAGAAAAAGGCACGGCTGACGATGAAAAACTACGCGCGATAATGGTGATGACGAGCTTGTCTGAAGTAAGATGAATGCGAGAAAGACAAGGCTTGCAAGAGGAAATGTCTACATATACATCAATGATGATTGACAAGACCCCAGAGAAGCACTTCTCAGAACAAGCGACTCCGGCACCTCGGACTCGGAGACAACAAGCAGGATGCAGAAACCGAAGAAAGACTCGCCGCAGGACTCATGGGGTCAGATGAGGATGTAGAATGTCCATAATTCTCGGTTACTCTGGAAGCCACCCACATGCAGCAGTCCTTCGGCCAAACTTATCCTGCTAAAATCGTCCCGCCCAGACAATAGGGCCCGTTCCCGGCGCCAATTGGGGGGGCTGCCAACGGGCTACATATTTCTATTCCGCCGCCTGCTAAATAAGCCAACCCAACCAAACCCAAGACCAGAGGAATTGGAAGGCCCATTGCAAGACAGTCCTGGAGCGGTCCGCAAGAGGTTAGAAGAGACAACTCCTCGGCGCCATGGTTCCCAGACCCCCCCCCCGTTTTTTACATCTCCACTGAAGCATTCTCTGTGGGACCAAACCACATAGTCAAGCATGTTCAGACTGGGCTATTTGGTTTATGTCGATCAACGGAACAAAACCGGTTTCGAATACACAGGGTTTCATAGCAGATATACATCCATTCAAAAAGTCTTACAAACCAAGCCAAAAGCTCTGGATCCAACAGGCCCTGCAGGACAATTCCAAGCCCTCTCTACAATGCCCCTCCCGCCCCGGACTCCATGATTGTTTGACTACACCATGGGGCGGGTTTTTAGAAAACCCCCCCAGCAAACGGATGGATTCCGTCCCGAGCGCCCGCAACTTGGTTGCAAGGCATCCAACGGACGCTTGGGCGGCCCGGGCATCATTTGGACGCTTCAGAAAGCGTCCAAGGGATGCTCGGCAGGTGAGACCATCCAGAGGATGGCATACAGCCCACCGTCCATCGGACACTTGATTGAGAGTGTCCGATGGACAACAGGAAAACCATCAGTTGGACACTTCTCAGAGTGTCCATTTGATGGTTTTCACGTGGGTCCACAGTTGAAAAAAAATTGGTCGATGGTCGAAAAATAGGTTTGGAGGGTGGTCAATGGTCGAAAAACCTTCCAAAAATGCAATTGGGGGGATATGAATAACAATTGTGTGAAACGGGCATGAAGCCACATAGTGTAGTGGTTAGGCACTCCCTCTCTGCATGTTGGTGGTGTGGTGTCACCACGGTCATTTGCGTGTCGCCGCGGATGTAACCGTCACCTTGACGAATCCGCGTGCGTGACTGCGGCAGTAGGCGCAGTGACTGCGCACGAAACCCCCAATGAAACCCCCAGATGTCGCTCCGCGCGGGAGCGACATGCAATTGTCCGTGGTGTGTGGCATGGGAGGTAGGTTGACGGTTCAATCCTGCCTTCTAGTCATTTTTTGTGCCCAGAGGCTTCCAAGCCTACCATCCGATGGATGGTTTGGCCCTACCATCCGGCTTCAGCAAAATGCAAAGCGCATCCAATGGATGCTCCTTGCAGGGCCAAGGCCGGATGGCATCTGGTACATCCGATTGGGTGTCCAAATGCCATCCACCACGCCCGGTGGTGTACAAAATGAAGGGTGTTCAAGGGTAAACAACAACTCATTAAGAAGCTATGATCTCTGAAAACAGTGCATGACAAGCGACGCCACATGAGACTTCATCATTGGACATTCAGCTCCATGGATCCTTTCTAATGTTTCACATTTACCAAGCAAGGATCCCCACATGAACTACATCAACACCAACAGATTGTTCTACTGAGCAGTCTTCCTACCACTCAACCATCAGGCTTATGTAGTTACTGTTTTCCAGTCACTTTTGCCAATGGAGGAAGTCCCTCATGAACCTGGAATCACTGGATTTCCATGCAAAGAAGATGTGTATGTATAGGAAAAAGAAACAACGATAACGATGATCGAGCGGGCAGAGAAGAGGGTATAATCAAGCCAGGAGTTTTTGTTGGTACACCTATAAATGAGGAGGAACGAGACGATCAGAGAGAACGACGAGGATCGATAGTACAAGCGGATTAGACATCAGACGTTCGAGCCCTGAGAGCGTGTCTCCCAGTCGTGATCATCGGTAGTCGGGATGCGATGATGGGGGACGACGGGGATATGCGGATGAAGGTCTTCGGCGTGAGTGCCGTTGGTGGCGCGCATGGGGAGCACGTCGCCATTGATGGACTTCTCGCGCTGGTCAGGGCGGGTGTTGTAGCCGGCACTGGTGGGCTCGTCGAGTCCGAACCAGCCTGTTGAGAGGGACCGGAGGAGAGGATCAGCGCTAGGGAAGGTTCAGGGAGGCCAAAACAGAGGGACGGGGGTTACCTTTGAGGAAGCTGCGGGTGCCGTTGGGCCCAGTGCCGACGAGACTCGACCCGAACGTGCCGGGAGACCTGCGCAGACCCTCGCCGGTGCGGAAGGAGGCCAGGCCGCCAAAGTCGGCCGGATCGACCTCGTCCGACGCCCGCCCGGGCCCGATGTCCTCCACCATCCCGCCGTCGGCATACGCATCCTCGCATCGGGTGCTCCGCGAGCCGCGCTCCATGTTCGCCCACCGGGCAGCCATCCGCGAGCGCGACGACGATCCATTCGTCTCCGTCGGCGCCCGTGAGCGTGGGCGCGGCGTGGGCTTATACTTCACAAAGAAGGTCGTCAAGAGCACTAGGATCACTAGCAAAAGGCAACACAGTCTATTTCAAGATTTTTTTTTTAAAAAAATAAAATAAAAAATAAACGGGAAAACGAGGGGGAGAAAGTTGGTCTCTTTGGTACATCGTAGCTATCAACACAATCCCCCCCTTCCAGCCGTCTTATGATATATATATATACGTCCGGTGGGTGCATCCAGAATGGATTGTGGTGGATATGACACCGGTGTTTGGGTTGATCCCACGAAGTCTGAATACTAGACAAATGAGGAGTCACGACTTACCCGATCAACACTTTCATCACCGTGTCCATCTTGGAATAAGTTAGAAGTATCGAAGCGATCTGGAGCAGACATTCGAACGAGAGAATCCAATATGAGAACATCAGCAAGTTGATTGGCAGCTCATTAGAGAGAGAGGGGGGTATATCAAGGAACGAGAGTTCAACAAAAAAAAAGAAGAAAAAAAAATGTAGCCTGGCGAGTGACTGAAGAGTCACTCTATACTACGACCGACCGGGCCACTGGGAGCCGCTCGGCAAAAGCAGAGTAGTATATGGAGGCAGAACAGAAAAGAAAGGTTGATGTTGCTCCCGGAAAATGAGGATCAAAAAGACGTAGGAGGAAGGTAGCTCTGCGGGCCTCGATGAGGAGCGAGAAGACTACCTCGTCTTGTCCAGAGTGTTAGGGAGCGAGTCGAGGGAACAGCCGATGGTGATGGGAGAGGGAAAGAAGACTTACTTGGTTGTTGATTTGTTGTTTTTGTTGGATGTGGATGTGGATGGGAGGGTATCTTATGCGAAAAAGTAAAAAGAGCGGCTGGTGGTGAGAAGGCGCTGGGCAGAGCGACGCGCAGTCGGAGGACTTTCGCCAACTTCGTGGGCGCGTCACCAGAATCCCGAGCAGCTCGACGTCGAAGATCTGACGTCCACAGTCACAGCTTACAACGCTACATCCTCCACATTTGGCCACCCACCCATCAACAGATCTCCAAGCTTGACTTGGAAGTGTATCTCATTCTCAGCTTGGTCTGTCATGGTCTCCCCTAAGAAAAGAGAGTTTGAGTTCAGTTTCAAAGGCGAGGAAGATCAAACCTCTCACATCATGAGTAATCAGAGCTCCATGAACTCCTAAAGTATCAAGGAGGGGAAGGTCAGGAGGCTCTAGTGGTGAGTTGGTAGTGATCAGTGTCAGATCCAATCATCATAATGAGAGGAATTTGGACCTCCTCCAAAATAAACCCAAAATAAAATTGGTTGCCCTCTTGCCATCTTGATCAAACTAGTTCATCACCCACTTCTACAGTTGCGCGCGGCATTGTACTGTACAAGATTTTGGGATGTCCGAATGGTCGGGACCCAAAATTTGGAAAAATTTGATTTTTTTTGTTAAGTTTTGGGGTGTTGAGACATCAATCTGACATCCACGCTGCTGTAATCGAGCCAGCGGATGCACTTTTGAGCATATACATTGGCTTTAAGCTTATGTGTATGGGCTTAGGCTGACATATAGCCATACAAGTATGGGTTTATGGTGTCAGCCTATTGCATATTTATGTACTTAGGCCCCCATATTTGGCCTGTGACCGAATGGTCCGGTGAAAAAAAAAATTTTTTTTTGTTTGGCTGGACCAAATTGGTTGCCGATTTAGATTTGGAATCTACACACCTTGTAGACTCCAAAAATGTGTTCTTTACAGGTGCTGGACCCCCGTCGGGGGTGAGGATCAACCCCGCGCGACCTAATCAGCATTTGCGGGTGGCCTTGTACAGTAGAATGCCGCGCGCCACTGTACACCATATCATAAAATTCAATCAGTCCTCCCAATCCAGGATATAAATCTGATCTTCATGAGATACTTGAAGCTCCTCCCACTTGTCAGTGTGTCTCAATCTCACCTCCTATCATCCCATCAATTTCCAATGAGAATTGAGAAACCAGGTTGACATCTGGGAGGCGGCATTTTATCTTTATTTTTAAAGGTAATTTGAGCTGACTTGTCAGAGCTTATTTCAGATCATTTTGTTTTTCCACACATTCAATCTGTGCTTTCCCACCTCAATCAGTCCCATTCTTGGGGATTCAGTGACCAGGTGTTCTGCTGGAGAGAAACCAGCCCCAGAAAAAAGAGCTGTCCAAGCATCAGATTTGCAATCAGACCTTCAACAGGTGGGTTGGACTTGGGTGTTTTGCAATTCTAGACCTAGTCTGAAAATTTTAATTCTTAACTCACTAGTCCAACTCATGAGATATGTTTGTGTCCTGATGATCTTATGTTAGGAAGAACAAATCCAACTTGAGCAGATTGTTGTTCATCATTCCCATTTGCAAGCAGATGATCAAGTGAGTTATAAAATGTATCACACGGGGGATTTCAGAAAAAAAAACTAGATTCTGGCTCTCAAAGATGATTTTCCTCTCCAGCCAGTCCAACTTGATCCGGAGATCCCACCTCATTATATGGTAAGCTGGGGACACCCCAGGATCGTCAAAAGCCACTCCAATAATCAACAGAGAAAGGATGATGAAGAGACCGAAAGATGTCCGATCTGTCTGGAAGAGATCCGCTCTATTCATGTCGCTTGGAACCATTGCAGACACAAGTTCTGTCCCCATTGTTTTGAAGCATGGATGAAAGTGGAACAAGGGGCCACTTGTCCAGTGTGTAGACGCGATATCCGCGGAATCAAGCAGCTGGGGTTCACCAAACCTACTCACATCTCGCCTTTTTGCACTGGAATTTTCCAGCTTGTTGTCCTCCTTTATCTACTCTATCTTTCTTGCATTCGGCCTGTCTTCTTTGCTTCTTTGGACTACTAAGGTCTGTTTAGCACTTTGGACACAAAATAATCATGCTTCTTTCTATAAATATATAATTCTGTCAAATATGTAAGGGAGATTTAAGCCATGGCCTTTGATAGAAATATTTTGAAATTGATCCACTTTTGAATTCTCTTACTCCATGAGTGAATTTGTAAAAAAAATCAAAATACTTATGACTAATTTCTTTGCTTCAATTCAAAGATCCTCCTAATTCTACCTTACTTCCTTCTTTTATTGAAAATAAACATGCTATATCTTCTGTTTCCCATTTCTCTCATATCACATCAACAGAAAAAAATGGTGACAAAGGATTGTGTTCATGCCAAAATGCAGGACACAATTGGAAGCCAACAAGCCAGCTGATGAAGGGATACATTCATAAACTCAAAGAGTGATACGGGATTTGGTAGGAGACTCATGAGAACCAACAAGTGGTGAAAGTCATGGAGATTGTCTGAAGGATCTGCAGGGCTTCGAGTGGAACTTCGAAGACCGAACCGGCTGCGCAAGGTCGAGCCGGATCAAATCCGGGCCGACGGACGACCTATCGGAATTTTTTGAATTTACGCTTGCAAGCGATGGCCGAAGAACCATCACACCCCTCAAAAACTACAGAACATCAAGAATACAAACAGTCAAACCATCCAACTCGTCCCTTCGAAGCCTGGAAAATAAAAGAGAAACGAACGGTCATCCGGAAGTGAGAACGATCGATTTTTTGCCGGCACGAGGAGATCGGAGTACTAATAATCTCGTATATGAATTATACATGCAAATGGTAGATAAACATTTTAATTGATTACATCGTCGACCATCTTATCTGGTTAGATGCATATGATCTGTAATAGCTGATTTTGAATGAAATTTTGTGCGGGTTAGACTTTAGCAGGTTGATGGTAACACAATATATATTAGTTGCAGTTTAATCCACCTTTTGCCTATTCCACGACCTGGACTCTGGACGATTGATCAGGCAAAGACAACTCATCGGATATCTGAACGAGGGATTGGAGTGATCAAAGTCTTGGTTCCCAGGCAAAATTTTCTGGGCACTCGAAGTTGGGTCCGCCCTTTAAGAATTAGAGCGTTGGGCTTTATTATAGATACCATTTCATTTCTGAGCGTGGACTGTGGATCGGGCGAGAGGAATTGAAGGAACGATGGCACCAAAGCAGCAGAAGAAAAAGGCCCCCAAGAAGCCAGTCAACAGAGGCTTCACCACCACCTCGATCCCCAAGAAGGTTGTGGAACCGGACCCAAATGAAGCCTCACCATCCGCTGATTTGTCTCCAGATGGCGATCAGATCCCCGTCAACCAATCTGCCTCCGCTATCCTCTCATCTGCTCCCAAGTCTAGTGACCCCAGTCAGACTACCTTCGCTAAAGGAGACTCGGCAAAATCTCTGGTTCATGACGAATGGGAGCAAGATCCGGACGAGAGAGAAACACATAGCTTGGCTGAAAAATTGAGACCGATGTCCGAGAAGGAAATCACCAAGCAGCTCAAGGTCCGCCAACTCTTGTAGATCCTACTATAAACCACGTGCCAGAACAAATAAAACTTAAAAATACCATACTATCTTTTTTTAGATCATTGAAAACGACAAAAGATTTGCCAAAGGATGGTCCGGGTTTCGGTGGTCGGATTCCCGCTTAGTGATTGTTATTTCGTGAAACCGATGCATGACTCCTTACTGGGCACAATCAAAGGTTGAATTGACTTCTGCTGTTTTTTTTGTTGTTTGTTAACATTCAGCAAATCGACATCCTGGAATACGCCCGAGACACACAACAGGTGATTGATTCTTGTGGCCAGAAGCCGACAAATACCGGTAATCTCCAAGAGGACGAGGAGAAGGCCTTGTATAAGCTGGCGGTCCTACACGGCATTTTGGATGGACTCGGGTTCCCAAAGAGCCGGATCAAGCAGTGCTTGGAAAAAATCAAATCTTTAGAGCTTGAAGAAGCCATAGATTGGGTACGAATCTTTCCGGCTCCTCCTCAAATTGATTCCTATGTATCCCTTTATCCCACAAACCTACTCACCAAACTTTTATCTTACTGCCACAGATGGTATTGAATTGTTCCAATGAAGAGCTGATATTAGCAGGTGAATATTTCTCGTGTTTACTAATACCGAATAATCTTCACTCCTTCGCTTTTTTATTGATGGAAACTCTAAACAAATCTTGCATGTATTCTTAGGTTATGATGATATGTCAAACGAAGACCCCTCACAGAACACTACGGAAAAAGATTTGCAAGTTCACAGTCCGAATGCGAGATTACCTCCCGCCCTCACGCTAAACCAGGATAACTTGAATACGTCGGATGAGGCAAATGACAAATCGAATCTTTCATGTGACCTTAGCAACGGCTTGGTTGAATTACAGCCAAATGATCTAGGTCTTGCGAGTGAACTCCCCAATTCCCAACAGCCAAGTCCAATCGTCCCTACCAGCATCTCACCCAGGATGAAGAACATCATTCTTGAACGACAGCAGCAACTTCAGATTGAAGATTCGGGCTCAGCCGAGGACCCACTGGCACCTACTCCCATCGATAATTACGTTGCTTTGAAGCTTTCCATCATGGAGCTTTCGAAGAAGATTTCCAAGGTAGGGACCGCTCATCTCAAGGGGAAAGCGCTTAAGGATGCTGCAAAATTGAAGAAAGAAGTGAAGCTGTTGGAAGATAGAGTCAAGCTGGTTCAGGCAAGTTACACGTTTAGTCAAAAGATAGCGGGTGAGTCTAAGATCTCTTTCATCCTAATCTTTTTATGTCCTCGTCGCTCACCTATTGCTACGCACCATACAGACCAGGCTCTCAAAACTAAAATCAAAGAAATCAAGAGCGGATTCGTTCCCGAAAGTGCCCTATGTGACGAGAGTTTAGATCTGAGTCTTGATAATGACCCCGCGGCAGTAAATCGCAAATCTGTCCCGTCATCGCCGATCATACCGATCACCGCCATGCAGCCAGGTGATGACGCGGCTGAAGACTCTGATGATCTCGAAGTTGTCGCATCCACTCCTGGGCTGGACATACCCCATAACACAGGCTTTGATAGGCTCGCAGGGCCAGCGTCTCCACCACTCAGTCCATCATCCAAACTTGTGGATGGCCGTTCATCAGCTGAAAGCCTTGAGACTGAACGCGAACAGAACGAAGATGAAAGCGGGCTGTTTGGAACGACTTTTGACGAGCCGGCTCCCTTGGCTCATGAGCCAGCTGCCGGAGTCTCTGCAGAAGCAAAGAAAACGCCGACTTGTACAGTGAGTCTTGTGCGAGACATGCCTTTGCCCAAACAGTTCTCCGGAAAGACACCCCAGAGTCTCCTCGAAGAGACCCTCCGTCGCTTGGATAAATTCGCACAACCGCAATACCTAGTCGTCTCGCGCGGAAGTCGGTCGATTCGTGCAAGTGTTGAGATCAAATGGAGTAGCCGGAAGGTGATCCCCACCCAAGCCGGAAAAATCACCAACACCTCGTCGAAAATCAACCCCCAACCGGTCCAGACATTTACCATGGAAGATGAAGCCTGTCGCGACGAAACTCAGGCCTATAATTATGTCGCCACCTTGGCTCTCTTTTATTTGAACTCCCAAAACTTGTCTTCCATTCACAGATACCTTCCTGTCACGTTCAGAGAGCTGTGGGACGAATTGGAAGAGAAACGCAAAAAAGTGGACGATCAGAATTATCTTGATCTCGTCAAAACCCTGTTGGCTATCTATAAGCATCGCTCGAGTAGTAATTCATGTTCACCTAGTGACCCCACTTTGGTTAGTCAACTCTTGTTTCTTTTTCTTGATGGTTTTCTCACTCACCCCAATTTTCCATATCACATACATAGGCTTCTCAGCGGCCCAAAGAATCAACCCTAGACTCTTTGGATGAAAAGACCTCACTGACGACTTCGCACGGCCCTCAAGCTGGACGAACCTCTGGTGATTTGGCTCTTATGGAGGAGTTTGCGATGCGGCAACATTGGCATTCTTACCAAGTGATGCTGGTGCGTGGTTTCTCCAACCCACCTTGGATAGCTCACCAAAGATAATAACTTGGACATGGTCTCATTTTTTGTTTGTTTGATCGATGAACTTGTTCAGGGATATCGAGCCACTCTACCTATCGCAGTCTATCGACCTCAGATTGTAGCGGCCGTCGAGCAAAACCAGGTGATCTTACTATGCGGTGAAACTGGCTGGTAGGTCTCCTCCTTCATTCACAGTTTCATGGGTACTCGCGAAAGGCAAAATATTCAATCAATTGCTTGTTGAACATTGGATTTACGATTGGACAGTGGTAAATCGACACAACTACCGGCCTTTATCTTGGAACATGAGCTAGCAAATGGCAGACCGGTCAAGATCTTCTGTACCCAACCCAGAAGGATTTCCGCAATCTCCTTGGCCGAGCGTGTTTCGCAGGAATTGGGCGAGCCAACCGGGGCCGTCGGTCAAGTGGGCTCCCTGGTCGGTTACAATATCAGACTAGAAAGTAAAACTTCGGCTACCAGTCGATTGGTTTATGCTACTACTGTAAGATTCATTCTTGTCTTTCACATTCTTTCATTGGTGGATAACTGATTCGAGTCTCAATCAAATCAACACATTCAGGGTGTCGTCTTGCGGATGCTCGAAAATGGAACTGATCTGCAAGACATAACCCATTTAATCCTGGATGAAGTCAGTCAACTCAAGCCTTTCATTTTACACACCAGTCCGCTCATCCAACATTTGTCATGTTTTTTAGATTCATGAGCGGAGTATAGACAGTGACTTTCTCCTGGTCGCTCTAAAAACTATCCTCGAGCGACGTCCCAACCTCAGGTGAATTTGCCTAGTTCCCTTTGAAGCTCCTACCGTTTTAGTAACAGGAGAGCTGATTTTAATGGGACAGGGTGATTTTAATGTCAGCAACAGTAGATGCAGAAAAGATCAGTAACTACATGAACGGGTGTCCGATCCTGAAGGTCCCCGGCCGGACGTTCCCGGTGACGAGTTTCTTTTTAGAAGATGTGATCGAGTTAACGAACTACCGACTGGATGCTCGCTCCGATAGTCCATATGTTGCCAGAAGAGGCAAACGGAAACCCGTCTTGCTGAAAACCGCCTCCTCGACTCAGGACGAGATCCCTAGCCTTGACGATGACGAAGAAGCTACCACCGATAGCGCCATCGCTCACACTTACGCCGCTTCAACTCGCGCTACCTTGGAAGTCTTGGACGAACATCTTATCAATATGGACCTCATCGTCTTGCTACTCTTGCAAGTCTGCTGGCAAAATCCGACCCTCGTGCAACGGTTTTCTAGTGCCATTTTGATATTTTTACCAGTCAGTTGGGGTCCCCCTCCTCACATCCAAAAGATTCAGAATGTTGTGGCCGAAAAAAACTAATACTCTAAGCAATTTTCCACAGTCTCTCGATAGCATTCGAAAATTGACCGAGATTCTCGAGAGCCATGCCATCTTTGGCACTTCGGCATTTCAAATATTTCCTTTGTAAGTTTTTATGCGACTCTATACTCTCTTTTGGGTTCTCAAAGAGAGTTAACATTTTTTTGATGATTCCTTTGTTGTGTTTAGACACTCTTCCATCTCCAATGAAAACCAGAGCTTGGTCTTTCAGACGCCACCAGCTGGCGTTCGGAAAATCGTTATCTCGACAAACATCGCTGAAACGGGTATTACGATTCCTGATGTCACGTGCGTCATCGATAGTGGGAAGCATAAGGAAATGCGGTAAGTGGAGGAGGTATCTTGACAAGAAAAAAGAACTTGGCTAAACCTTACGCATTTATTAATGAAACGGTTTTTACTGTAACCAGGTATGATGAGAAAAGACAAATTAGCAAACTGGTCGAGACCTTTATCGCCAAAAGTAACGTCACGCAGCGTAAGGGTAGAGCAGGAAGAGTTCAAGAGGGAATTTGCTTTCATTTGTTTACCAAGCATCGCATGGAGACTCATGTATGTTGACTTGACCTTGCGAGCCATAAAAAACCCATCTCGAGCACTTTTTCATTTTGGATTCTGCCTTCTACAGCTTGCAGACAATCCACTACCGGAAATGCTTCGACTGTCCCTTCAGGATCTCGCGTTGAGGATTAAGATCATGCAGATCGGAACCTCCATAGAAGACGTCCTTTTGCAAGCTTTAGATCCTCCATCGACGGTCAACGTTCAGCGTGCTATTGCTTCTCTGGTAGAGGTAATCGGCGCTTTACTAGCTTTCACACTGATTGACTCGCTGACAAAATTTTTGACTGCCAGGTCAAAGCACTGACTCCAACCGAGGAGATTACTCCTCTGGGCCGACATCTAGTCAAACTCCCAATGGATGTTCACATGGGAAAATTGTTAATCTTGGGATGCTTGTTTCGCTGCTTGAGCCCAGCACTGACCGTTGCAGTTGAGTTCTTAGGCCGTGTTATTTTGGGTTTAGGAAAAGAGATATAGAAAATGGCAACAAAGCAAAGCAAAAACTGATGTTTGATTTTTTATCTATACTTCCAGGCAGCTTTGAATTCTAAAAGTCCTTTCCTTACTCCCTTTGGACGGGAACAAGAAGCCGATGCGATCAAGAAATCCTTCAAAGTTGAAAATTCGGACTTCTTGACCATTTGTAAGGTCTACAACTCCTGGCGATCGGCTTATCAGAACGATCATGTCCACCAGTTCTGTCGCAAGAACATGCTGTCTTTTTCGGTGAGGATGATCTGATTTCTAGTTTGCATTATTGTTTTAGCTTGATTCTAAAAGTTTTGTCTCTATTAATCAGAACCTCTTACAAATTGAAGATCTTCGGTCACAATTCCTTGGCTTCTTGGTTGATGCCGGATTTGTAGTCCCGAACTCGAGATCTCATGGCCCTGGTTCTTTTAGTCAGAGGAGTAGATTTTGTAATGTACCCGCTGAATTAGATCTGAATGCCGACCAACACAAGATCGTGATGGGCTGCATCGGAGCTGCCATGTTTCCCAAGCTTTTGGTTCGAGATGGGGCGATGCAAATCGGAAATGTCAACTCAAACGCCCAAGGCGGATGGAGAACCTTGACTAACTCAGCCCCAGCTTCGATTCACCCTTCGAGTGTCAATTTCAGTAGTGGTCGTCGTCCTGACTTTGGGGATGCTAGGTTTGTAACGTATTTCAACATCATGCAATCGAAAAAACTCTGTTAGTGCATACTCTCTGTTGTAACTGGCCAGTCATGATGTGCTCTATCATAGCCTATTTATACTGATGCGGGATTCGAAATATGCTTGCAGATATTTGGGAATCGGGAGTGGTTAATGAAAAAGCAATTTTTCTGCTCTGTGGCGAAGCGGATTTCAAAATCCCTGCCGAATCGGTCATCATCGATCGCAAGATCAAAGCTTCGATGAATCCAAAGACCCTCTTGACGCTCAAGATCTTACGACAACGTTTCCAACAAGTAAATCAAGTCTTGTTCATCCCACAAAGAACGGTTTCCATCTTTGGTTATTTGCCTCTGCAGACATTGACTGATGTGAACTCCCTTTTTTTTTCTCCATCAGCTGTTCAACTTGAAGATGAAGAACCCGTCGCAGAAATTCAATCAACAGCAGCAGCGATGGTTTGATTTGATGACTGCGGCCATTCAAGACGATAAAGATGCTATCAAAATCAATAAAAATGAGATATCAATCAATCGGACGAATGCTCCGACTAATGCGATTAGCATCAAGCCAAAGAATCGGATGTCAGTCGTTTTGGCCCCAGCGGGTCGGATCCCGTCCATAAGCAACAGTAATAACATATCTCCTTTACCGCAAGAATCTATTCGTCACAGCGACTCCAAAGATAACCAATCCGTTGTAGACCCTGGCGAGGACATTCGGACAACATTTTATGAGACAACCGGCCGTCTTTCAGAGCTTTCAATTTCTTCCCCCGCTCCTAGCAATGCTGGTTTCACGACTTCTAATCTTTCAACACCTACTCCAGCTGCGGCTGGGTCGGTCTACGACCACCCCCCTCACGTTCATTATAATCATCACCAGCTGGAGAACTTTGATCATGTAACTTAATTTTTGTTTTCTTTAATGTCCCCTCTCTTTTCTTTGCTTCTTCTCATCATCGTTCATGCCCTCTTTTCTGTCAACATCAGACCAAATAAAATGGATGCTCTATTTACGTACCATCAGAGAACCTTGGGGACATAAACTGAGAGTGATACCAGTGACCACATTGAAAGCAGTAATCTCGTGGAGGTTTAGCTGTAACTAACCTGGAGGCAGAGGATTTAGTAGAGGAGTAGAGGGACATCGATAGGCTGCCGGCAAGCAGTGCATAGACCACTGGCACAAGGTGGATTAGGCGGGGCAATGATTCTTTAACAACTTGAAGCCAAAATTCCAGAAAATAGAAGCAATCTACACTGGTAACATTGGAAGTGGCTTCAAGCCTGGCGGACTAGAGCGCTTGATTGATTCTTCCGGATTAATTTCTTGTCTCTCCTATGTAAGTTGACATTTTGATTTCATCAAGAGCTCATGGCACCAGGCCGTGTTTTACAAAAATCTAAAAATTTGTGGTTTTCGAACATGATATCGCAAGTACCAAAGAGTGTTCAAGTAGAAGAGTAGTGTATAGTAAAAGACAGTGAATCTTGGGGCTCAAGGGCTTCCCTTCTGAGCACCAGTCGCACCGGATAACTTGGCCTTCAACTTCTGGATCACGAATTCAGTTGCGTCGTTTTCGTGCTGGCCAGCGTATGAGAGATGGCCCATAATGCTCCCGGCGGTCTGACAGATCTCATCACCAGGCACGCAGCAATCATACACTCGATCGGTCAGCTGGTCTGGCATCTTGGCACCCGCCATGGCCGCAATACCCATCCCGGAACTCTGAAAAATGTCCCGAAACGATAAGCAAATCGTCCTCAATCTTTGAAGAAATTGCAACCAGGGAAAAATAAAAAAATTCATGCCAAGCTTACCGCGCCGCATTTATTTTGAGGGGCCCCAGCTCTGAAGTAAGGGTTTCCAAACAGAGCAACAGCCGCAATCTTGTCTTGGGGGATCTCCTTGTTGTTCAGAGTCTGGGTCTGGACCATAGCCTATTGATAGTAAGTTGTTTTTGATGAAGAACGTCAGGATTATGAATTTAAGTGAACAGGCCGCATAGAGTATCACTTCACTAACTCCTTTCGAGTAACCAAGCAAAACAAAGACTGTTTTCGGACACTTAGAGATTTCGCCCGTGATCATTTTTACTTCAGTCTGTGCCCCTTGGGTTACAGTGACGGAATAGTCGGCCGAAGTTGAATACTGGAGTTCTTCTTTTGCTCCTCCAGGAACACTAGCCAAGACTTTCTGGTACAGGGCATTGTAAGCTATAGAGCCACCTGGTCCCTCGCTGGTTCCTCGAGCCCTATTGGAAAATGAATGGGGTGTTTTTCGTGAGCGATTTCGGTGTGAGTTCCAGTGTCATCTCAAGCCAGTGCGTACCCTATCATGTAATAAGATGGACATCCCCCGGAAGAGCCTTGTGATTTACTTTGACCATTCAGGGATGCGCCGTCACTATTGGAACTGGAAGCCGTTCCGGATGAACCGGATCCCATGCCTGGCAAACCACCAAGCCCTCCGATCCCGCTGCCGGAGGCCATCCCAGATAAACCACCGAGTCCGCCAGTCCCGCCACCAGAGCCCATCCCAGGGAAACTGCCGAGTCCGCCAGCGGAACCGGAACCTAGCCCACCGAGTCCACCACCAGTTCCAGAACCGATGGATGGGAAACCTCCAAGTCCACTCCCCCCGGAGCCAGAGCCCGAACCAGAAGTGCCGCCGATGCCAGGTATGCTACCTCCACCAAGAGAACCAGTTAGGCTACTGAGATCGAATTGGCGCTTGGACAGAGTCGCCCTGTTAACACTCGCGCTCTTCACTGATTCTTGAAGGTTGATCACAAGTAGAAGAAAGCTCTTGAAGCTGATGGACACCATTCTCTGGAATAGATTCTCCTTGATAAGAAATCTTCGGTGGTGCCTTTAGCAGAGGGAGATCAAGTTCCAAATAGTTATTTAATAGCTAGTTTATATATGGACACGAGCAAATTGAACTTTCTTTTTCCGAGTGTATATGGGCACGAAAGTATGTTATGAAGATATCGAAAAAAAATAGCGCTTGAAGACTGGGGACCTATGCACATGCGCACCAAGGATGTTGGTTTTGTTTCCCAAGAAGAATGACAAACAAGAAGGCTTCTCTTATAAAGAAGATGGCCCACCCAGAGAGCACACACCTGGCTGAGCTCGGTCAACGTGCCAGATTTGAATTCATGTGATGGGGCGATATGAGTAGAGCCGTCCATGTGGATAGCCTAGTCGTCATGACGTGCTTGATCAGGATTTGGGGGGTTCGATCTAGCTTATTAGTTTTTCTCCTCGGACAGGATTGGACGATTGGATTTTTTTTCTCTCTCTTAAAGAAATCAGCAATCAAAACACCTGAAGAGTCAGATAACAAAGATGGCAATACTTGGAGTAAGTTTCGTGGGTCAACTCGATGCCGATCTCCAAACGCAAGGGTCAGGACACAATGAGGCGAGGAACGCTCTCGAGGTGAGGAGCCTGCTTTCTATACCAGCGCTGCAGTTGATGCCATGACGGCTATATAACATACAGACAATCAATCAAGACGACATAATATGTCATGATCCGATGCATCCGCCCCTTCCTCCATTCCATCGTATATGAGTCACTCACGACGACTGCGCATTCCTCATCTACAGCCAACTAAGTCCGAATCGCTTGTATGTACCCAGAGATCGAGTCAATGTTCCTTCCGCTTTCACCCTCGCCATCTGGCGTCCTTGCCATCACGCAGGAGAAGTGTGGGTCCATTGCTCGGAAATGACTTCCTTACACAGATCGAAGGGTGGGGCTCGCTTGGACAAGCAACCGCCTCGTATGAGATGACTGATGCTTGGAGAACCGAGATGCCTAGAAAGCACAAAAATTGACCTGCTGTAACATCCACTGCGAAATGATCTCGTTGGTCCTTCGTCGTGCTTCACAGTTGTTTGAATTCAAGAAATATCCTTGTGTTGGAGCAGGAGAGCTGAAGACTTTACATCCAAGGAAACACAAATTCCCCACCCCCCCCCCCCAAAAAAAAAAACCAGTCATGTGGCTCAACTCATTAATGATATGCACATTATTTCCATCAGTGAAGTAATACCATCAGACACTGAAATTCCAATTTTTTGCCAAGTTTTTCATGAAAGAAAGAAATACATAATGAAAAAAGGGTTATTTTTCTAGCTGATTTTCATGCTTATCGTTGGGGCCAGATTTTGGACCGTGTTAGGCAGTGTGATCACTTCTGCAAGGATGTGGATTTTTCTTGTGTGGACTGAGGGTAAGTTGAAGTTGGACACAACTTTTGGGCTGCTCACTGCCCAAGAATTGAAAGGCTTTTTAGCAAAATCAATCACCCACTTCAATCAATCGAAATTTTATGAGAAAATGTTTCTTCATTCAATGATTGGAATGATGTAATCAAAGCAGACAAACAAGTAGAAGATGATCCTATGAACAAACTGAATCATTTTGAAATTCTTCTCTAGAACCAGGAGTCTAGAACAAGGCGGGCAGTGTAAGGGTCCAAGCGAAACATCACATCAGGATATTGGTTTTCTTAGCAATCTGCACTATGAAAAATCTTAACTAAATAATGTCAGTTGACATGTGAGAACTTGATTATCAATGTTACCTCTACTCAGACACAACTCTCATTGTTCAATTTGGGCTAGGTTGGCAGTCAACCACTCCCAACAGTTTGTGTAGCTAATTGCAGGACTATGGGACTTAGTACTGTAGCACCAAAATGGCTTTCCTCTTTGGTTTTCTTTCTTTTTCTTTCTTTTCTTTTTCTTTCTTTCTTTCTTTCTTTTTATTTCTTTCTTTTTCTTTTCTTTTCTTTTTTTTTCTTTTTTTTTTTTCACAGTGCTGGAAGCACTTTTCCCAAAATCATAACAACAATATACATGGAAAGAACGACTGCCATAGCATGGCCCACCGTGGCATCACTGAGTAAACTTGTACACAACCAATTGTGCAAAAGTAGATTCCTATTCCGCGGGGTTAATGGAGCTTCGACTTGGCCAACTTCGTCGGTGGTTGGCAGTGGAAGGCCTTCAGGGGGATCCTTTGGCGGCTCTGCTGGCTTTCCGCCCAGCTTCAGCTCGGCTCGACAGACTGGGCAGGTGTATGGTGGCCGTTCCCTCTCCGTGTACAACCAACAATTGATACAATATTTATCGAAACTGTGTCCGCAATCCGACGTGATAATCGGTCCTGATCTTGGGTCGAGCTCGGCCAAGCAAATTGGACAATCTAGGTTTGGTTGAACTTGGTGGCTTTGAGCCAGGGCTTTCTCCTTTCCCAACGAATCCACGCGTCTTTCATCTGAAGAAGCTGCTTGTCCTTTGCCAGTGTGCAAATCACTCGCTAGTCTCTTCTGATCTTCAGGCCTTTCTTCGTCGTCGATCTGAAGAATTACTTCGTGTCTCTGAGAGCCCAAAACCACCGAATCAAAAATGACGACTTCCAGAACTCCTGTTGTCCAAGGTTATTAAAGCAGCCGACTCACCGGTTGACTCGTTTGAGGTGTCGAGGCTGGCAATGATCCTACACCATCGTTTTTAGACGTGTGAGATCCGTTAGGCAAATCCACAGTGCTCGGGCTGAAGTGTCGTCGAACTCCGTCGGATTGACTCGCGGCCTCTACATCCTGTACCGGGTCAGCAAACCGGCTCAGTTCCTGTTCGCCTCCACCTCCGAGACTGTTCCCAACAAGCTGCACAAAACCAACGGCTTGTCAGTTCTGATTTATTAGGGTTTACGTTCTCTCTGGAAGTCAGTGCGCTTAACCATTAAGAGTAATAACCAGGTAACCATTTCAATGAGGTCGAGCAATTATTCTGGAAGGACGACTGCGGGTTCCTCTGGTGGCAGGTACATCCAGCAAGACAGTTGTTGAACTTAGAACGGCTCACACATAGCTTCAAATCCCAAGCATCTGTGATGATATGTCAGAGAGTGATACTAAATTCTAATGTTTGTAGTGCTACATATGTAGAAGTTGCAAGGAAAGAAATATCGCATAGTGGGAAGTGCATATACATTAAGCGGAACATGATGGGGCTGGTGATGGGGAGTCGGAACGCGCGAAGAAAGGAAACCGATCATCCGAATGCCGTAGGCGGAAGGGGAGCGAAGTCAATGCAATACTTACATGTCTGACGACCCTTGTGTACCGGTCCCGCGAGAAATCAGGGATCGGCCCGCCGTCCTAGGAGACAAAACGCACCGGCGTTCGCCACGGCGGCCTGACATATATAATGTTGGAGATATGCTCAGGTTCTGGTCTCGACGATGTGATGTGTATAATAGAATAGACAGCCAGGAGGATCACTGCAGTGACCATGCTCGGCGTGACAGAGAAAGTCAGCCGCGAAAAAAAAAAGGCAGGGTCCCTGGAATCGGCGGCGATGTCATTAAGGGCCTCACTAGAGGGACCGGTCGGCCTGTCGATCGCCGTCCCGGGCTAGACATTGCACTGAACACGCGCATCTTCGCAACCACCACGAACTGATTGCCCGGGCCACAGATCTTGCTCACCTTGAGGTTCGCCTGGTCCTGGAACATGCAAGCCAACCCCATCCACCGGTGGGTTCCACATTGCTAACTCAAACAGTATGTAGATTTCATTGAATGATTAGTTTGATTAAGGATTGATTCATTTCATCTCATCTTCTTACTAAAGAAGTATTCCAGGAGGTCTCCTTTGCCTTTGTCACATGTGAACAAGCTCAGAGAAATACTGAAGTATCGTTTAGTTAATCACAGTTTGCCAGGCTAGTATCCCTGATGCCCTTGGTGCAGTTCTGTTGTTCCCATCAACCTCAAATCCATTGGGTGATTGGGTCAAGAAACCCAAAGCCTTCTCATTGCATACCCATCAGACCTAGTGAGCAAAGCTTGCCACAGTGAAGCTTCAAGGCAAGCAATCCTGAAGTAAAGTAGAACCAAATCTAGATGTGCTTTGCATAAAGTCAACATTTAGATGTGCTTTACTGATATAGCATCGGACCAAAATGCTATCAAATTGTTTCAAAACGTGAGAATGGGATAGTCCGAAAACACCTGCTGGCTTGCTGAACAGTAATCTTATCAAAGGGCTAACAGGAGAAGGTGAAGAACAAGTTTTTGAGGCTTTTGGGTTTGCAAGCTCTTGGGAAGGGGGCCGCCTTCGTTTTGTCAAGTGCCCGACGAGGTCAAATTTTCAGAAATTTGGCTAGTGATCATCGCCGAAAGTAATTGTAATCGATTTTGCTTATTACGAGCTGACCAGTTGGAGAACCTTAGAGGCGGCGATGTAGTGTCCGTCGATCTTCACAGACCACTCTTCGTGGACCCAATCCACGGGATAGGTCATCAGACTGTTGTCCCGCAGTTTGATGACATAGCAGGTCTCTCCACAGAAATCGCTCTCCTCGTTTATCTCTTCAGTGACGCCGACGATTCGTCCATCGAGTGGTTTCGGAGGGTTTCTGCCGGACTCATCGCGCATCCGGACTTCGGTTCCGACGCGAAGCTGCCCGGGGTCGAGTGGGTCGCCGTCCTCGTGCTGCCTGGCAGCTTTGGCCATCTGCGCCTCTGCTCTGGCTTCGTTGTTCATGTCGACGAAACACATCCCACAGCGGTGACACATCTCCAATTGGTGGGGCGTGCACACCGTTATTTCCGCGCCACTTGAAGTCTTCACCGTGTCACACATCCTTGGGTCTCCTGTCTGATGAACGTCGCGCCATACAATTGCAAATTGGGGAGCGGAAACAAAGGTTTAGCTGCTACTCCACCGGGAAACTATAACCTCGGCATGTAGATTTAGCCAGGTGGAAGCTGCAGCAAAATACGACGCAGCCTGTAGCTTGATGTGAAAGCGTGAAAGGTGGATTGAAGTCTGATCTGGTGAGGGTTGACTCACCTGGGTTTTCCTTATGTCGGGCTCGGTATGTGCCAATTGTGATATGGTTCTGGGACTGGTTTGTTTCCTCAAATTGATTTCCAAGAGGTCTGAGCTGAATCTTCACGCGATGGCCGCAGTCAAGCGCCCTGCGAAGTCCGCCAAGGGGACTTGCACTGTCCAGTCATCACACACAAAAGGCCGCATGACCGGTCTCGACTCTCATGGCAAACTTGCTCCATATGCGATGAATGGCTTCCATATGCCCCTCAACCCTGCACCGTTGCCACCACCCATGCCTGCTGTAGTCAGTTGCACTCCCAATGGTGACTTGTTCTTGTTTGCTCATGTGAAGAGCAAGTCATATAAAGAATAGAGATTATGCTATAAGCTCCGGACTGGACTATTCGAGTGCCAAAAGAAAGATATATTGCATAGAAGAAAGAAAACAAACCTATAAAGAATAGAGATTATGCTATAAGCTCCGGACTGGACTATTCGAGTGCCAAAAGAAAGATGAGGAACTCGAATAGCCAGTCGCGGGTACAACTTTATAGGTTTTACTATGTGACATGATTTGTGATATGTGTATGTATGTGAAAGATGATAGATAAAATTGAAATAGAAAAAAAACATAGATGAGAAAAAACTTAGATGAGAAATAAATAAATAGATAGTTCGCAATGTTGCCAATCCCATAAACCTTACAAGTCATTCCTTCGATACATTCTAAGCCCGTTTGACAAAATAATAAGCAAAACTACATTGATAACTATTGGGACTGATCCAGTAAATAATGTGAAACCCTGGTTTGCCTGATCAAACACACACTCTTTTTGAGGATGATACATTGAGTTGTTTATTTTACAAAAGTTGATAGATAAATACAACTGCTTACAGCCGTATCTGAACCGTTATAACGAGTTCACCATTTTTCAAGAAAGGAAAGCGTTCCTGGAGATATTAAAAACTATCCAAGTCACATAGCTATTTTACCCAACCTGCCACGAGATCTAGCAGAAGCCAGTGGCAGAACAACATCACACCAACAGCTAGACACATTGTATCAGGCCAAAAGAATGATTCATCTTACCGATAAGACACCTGCGTCCATGTTACCATGAATCGCTTGGAACACCGAAGGGGGAAGAAAGCCACTTTATGGACACTGAAACGGAGACAGGCCATTCATTTTTTTTACAAATACATGCTTCAGCGAGCGGGTGTGTACAAGGTGTTGTTTGCCGAGGAATTAAGAGTGCCTCCCAGAGAAAGAACTTGCCCCAGCCGGCGTACCTCCAAAACCTTCACAGACATCCGAAGCGCATTTGTAGGATGATCAGTGTCGTCTCCACAGGAACCCCTGAGGTGAGAAGATACGAGATGTGCAAGCCCGAGCGGGCTATAATCCAGTGTAATCCTCGAGGGTAATATGGGGAAAAATTCCTCGAAGAATTATGATGAGCATGATCAGCTAGTTTCCCAAGCGCTTCTCAAGACGCTGCTTGAGCCTTGGCCAGCGACTACGACTTGTTACTTGAATTGTTTCACGGCAAGTCCGATGGCCTTAAAAGCCTCACTCTTGCTGCATAGACCCCACTCTTACTCTACCTACTCTTCAAGCAATACACTTGCGATATTTTCAGAGACATTTTTGGGTCCAAGATTTAGCCTACGGGAATCATCGGTGTCAACACCGGACCCCAGATCCTTCATTTCTTTTTTTTCTCTTCAGAACATCCTCGATCAGGAGACTTCGAATCAGCACTCCAAGACGATGGTTTTCTTCAGCTTCAAGAAAGTTATTCTGCTTGCCAGTCTGGCCGCTACAAACGTTCGCGACGGGATCGCGGAGAATGTTTGTAGATCAACGAGCAAATGTCCTTCTTATTACATGATTGGGTAAGCACTAATGATTCAAGTCATCTTCAATTCGCCCACACCACCATTTCCTGATGGATTTATTCGCATAGTGCTCGAGGTACTGGGGAGGGACCTAATGGGTCACTAGCCTATACGACACTCTACCAGAAGGTCTTGTCCGCTGTGCCTGGAGGCGCAAAAGAAGAACTCGACTACTCGACCATCGTCGAATACTCGACCACTGTTAAACAAGGAGCCCAAACGGAAGCGAGATTTATAATCGAAACGCTGGCCAAGTGTCCGCAAACCCTCTTCGTTTTACTTGGTTATTCAAAAGGAGTCAGTCCCCAGAGTCAGACTTTATGTGCTATCTATCTACTAAGTTAGACGCTTATTAATTTTTCTGGATCTTTAATCATCCTCCTTCTAACAGGCTATGGTTCAAACACAAGCTCTCAACATGAAGGAAATCCCTCGAAATAGAATTGCAGCCGTCGTTTTGTTTGGAAACCCATACTTCAGAGCTGGATTGCCTCAGAATAAATGCGGCGGAGTAAGTTTTTTTTTTCAATCAAATTCAAAGTAGCAACAATGAGGATGAAAAAAAAAATCATTTCAGATCTATATGAAAGGGCGATTTTATGGACTGATAAGTTGGATGAAAATTTATTTTTTTTCTTGTTTTGTAACAGAACACGGGGATGGGAAATGTATCACGATCGGGCGTGAGAATGCCATCAGAGCTGAGCGACCGAGTCTACGATTGTTGTGCGCCCCGGGACAAAGTGTGTCAGAGCATTGCGCATGGAAGCAACCAACCCCATGGTTCATATCCTGGCCGGCACGAAGACAATGCAACCCAATTCGTGATCCAGAAGTTGAGGGCACGACTCTTCCGGCCGGCTGTTGTCGCTAATCATCCTCAACATCCATAGAAGACAATCTCCCTCAATCGAAATCTCCTTTCTACTCGGTCTTTCTTTCTCCCTATCTTTTTTTTTCTTTCTTGCATGCAGCTTGATATCTCAAACTTCTTGGATTGTTCTAATTAAGGCTTGATGCCATTATCTTCTTGGACATAATAAAACCCTTTGGAATATACACATAATTCGGATGCCTATTGTTGAAAGATGAAGTTTCAACCTGGGCGTTCAAAACAAAAGATCTCAAATCAGATCATGTCTTGTTATAAGCTTATCACCATGTCCCCCGGAAAAAAATCGATTTCAGAGAAATCTTGTAATTGTGACACTGAACAATATTTCCATCCCACTCCTTGCAGCCTTGAGTCTTTCATGGAGATTCAGCTAGCAAGATCCCAAAGAATTTTTAATGAACAATCAGATTGTGATTGCTATGACCTCAAAGGGAGAGAGGTGATGAATTTTGTATTTATTATTAAGACTAGAACCAGAACTGTAGACCAGTAAAAAATAACAATATGAAAAATAAGATGAGAAAAAAGGAAAGTGTACTATGGTGAGATTTGTCAAGTGCTTTAGACAGAACAAGCAGACTGAAGTACAAGATTAAGATCAAAGAGATAGGAATAATAGTCACTGATTTTCTTAGAGAAACAATCACAAGAACAAAGCTGAGTCAATATGAGTCAAGAGAAATAGATCAAAAAGGAAATGTTTTTCTCACCAAATTGGCAAGAGCCAAGGGAGGAAGTTGAGAGAGAAGATATGGGGTATGATGTTCAAGGTAGTTGGCTTGAATTTGAAGTTGATAAGAGTGTGAGAGAACAGACACAATGGATAGAAGATACAGATGCAGAGAAGAGAAGATGCAACATTGGATGTGGGGATTTAGGAAAGGAAGTCTTGAGGGAGTTGGGGGGTTGAGGTGGATTGGGCCAAGCAGTGTGGGTGAGGCAAAGAAGTTGATGTCAATTTTGAGGTTGGGTGTCAAGGAGTTGGAGACTGCTGAGGGAGGAAATGAGAATCACTAACTGGGGAGCGGATATTTTTAATTTATCAATCAGTGGAAGAGCATGCAGAGCGTGGACATGGTTGAGAGATAGGAGGAAATCACTCAGATCTGAGATCTTGTTTCCCTCTAGAATGGGTCAATGCTGGACAAATCACATCATCATTGATATCTCACCAACCAAGACCTCATAAATCTCTCCTGAATTTATTCATTTTCGACACCTTCAACTCCACCAAAATCATTCTCCTAAAAATCAAAAACCCTTTTAAAATTAAAAAATAATAATAAAAACAGTTCCTCTTTCTCTTTTCCTATCATCTCAGTCTCCCTATCCTATTCCCCTTTTCCTTTCCTTCTTCTGACTGTAGATCTCAGAGCTTTTTCTTCCTTCCCCATAAGGTTTTTACCTTATTTGGGCCTGCATAGTTATTACTAAGCCTCCCAAACGTATCGTCTTACATGTCAATATGGAAGACGTTGAATCTTCCAATCCCTCCCCTCCTCACACTCCAACCCAACACAATTTCTCTCATAACCCATCCCTCCGCCAATCCCAACATAGTCCTGTAAATGACCCACATATTAGCGGTTTTTTTCAATTCATGTCTGAAATTCTTGCCCATCCCGAACCAGATGGAAGTGTGATCATCAGGGCCGATAAGCTTAAGGTCGCTGCTAGTCTTCTTGGTGTAGAAAAACTAGTATCAACACAAAACTTGGCTAACCTATAGAAGATCACATCCCATCTTGATTCAATTGAGAAATCAATCCATTCATCTCCTCCTTCTAAGAGAACCCCGATAGCTGCCTGGACTAGTGCTGTCAAAGACAAGCCTACCCATGTCCTTTCCCAGCCAATCATTTTTCCTCCTCCACTCAAAAAAGTCATCAATGAGTTCAAGCCTGCAGCCTTCTTTGTAATTTGCAAAACTGTTCCTGAATCTCAACCTTTTTTCCAAAGGGGCTTGGTTAATCGACTCCCAAAAGTTGGAGAGTCAACTCCCAAACCCCCAAAACCCCCAAAATTCCCCGTATTCCCCAAGTATTGGGAGTCGATTCCCCAAACCCGTCAGTGGGTTTGGGAGTCGAATCCTCAAAAAATTTAAATAAAAAAAAAACGAAACCCCCGCAGGGGGACGGAGTCGATGCCCCAAAACCCAGTGGGTTTTGGGGGTCGGCGAGCCAAAAAGAGCCCTTGATGGCCGGGATGATTTCTCCCGGCCGTCGAGGATGTACACCTTTGACGGCCAAGAGAGACCCTCCCGGCCGTCGAGGATGTACACCTTTGACGGCCGAGAGAAACCCTCCCAGCCCGTTGAGAAGTTACACTCCTCGACGCGACGAAAGAAAATACGCTTGGGCCGGGGTAGAGAGAGCACCCTGGACGCATGGAGAGAAAGCGACGCGGGAGAAGGGGAGGAGACAAGGCGGCCAGACGCAATTAAAAATTAACACGAACGTTAGTATTCAAAAACAATTCATAACAAGACTGACTTAGTTTGCCTGTTGCTCTTAAGGGTACTTAGCG